GGCAAGAGTATTTCGCTTTCGCAACACAGCTGTTACAAGCATTGTAAACATACAGTCGAGTAGATTTTGTGTCGCCTGTGCAAATGCACAGCGCGCGCCTATGTTGAAAGAACCGATCGTTAAACCTCGGCTTTTTTGAAGTACTTCCTTTTTATTAGCCACTGTTTTTGGTTCCCCCATTAGATATGTTTAGAATAGGAAGATACCTTAGAAATCTGTATCAAAGTATTTTTGCGTTTTGCATCCAGTATAGTCGGACGAGAAAAGCCATTTACAACTAAAAAGCTTGCATCTGTTTAACTGATCTTGCATACAATAGCATAAAATCAAAAAGCAAAAAATACTAAGAAAGTGCCTTGAAAAACATATGTAATTGTGAGTGCGAGAAGTTCCTCCAGGAGCGCACATATGTGTAATGGCACAGGCGAATAGGAACTCCACTTTTCTTCCGTTTTTAGCCACCTATACTTATTCGACAGAAATGCAGCAGTTACGGGTTTCTCAAAGATTACTTCGCCCAAATCTTCTAAAAGTCTTACAATGCCAAGCTGGGAATTTCTAAGGTTTTAGCAAGTTTGACTAATACACCTTTTCTAGTGAATAAGTTGGGAAAGACCGAGTTTTTATTTCAACGGTGTAAAATACAATTTATCTCCGTTTTCATGGAAGAATTTCACTATTGATTATCATCGTCGTTGAAAGAAAACTGTGTTCACGTGAATACTACTTTGATTGTAGTGCATTTCTTTGATGCTATTATCACTGTCCATCTAAATGAGAATATGATTTCTGCCTCATAGTCTAGAGTATGTAAGGAAACCCCCGTGAAGGTCTACCGTCTCGTCGTGGCGCAGGGGTGATTCTGGGTGTCGGACTGCGAATACAGCGAAGGTTTATTCTACAGAAGGGTCTCCCAAGCTAAGAAGGGGTTCGATGTTTCCGGATCTCCGGATGCCCAGCTAAGAGTAAGGGCGCCAAAAGCGCCACGTTCTGGTTAATTTGGTCGCTATGTGTTCCCTTGATTCACATAGGTCAGCGATCGCCAGTGGTGAAAGCTTGGCACGCCCCGGCAAGGCTGCTAAAAGCTCAATTGTTTGTACAGCAAAAGGAGAAAAAGATCTGCACAGTGCACATGTCCGGCGTTGAATATCATCAAGACACGTCAGATTGCACAGAACGTCATGGATTTTGAACAAAAGGACACGTCAACAACTCGCCATTGAGCTTATCTCATGCTCTGATCTATAACGCCAGGACAGTCTCCACCAATGATCTTCATACCCTTCTCAAATCTGCATGGCGCATTAACTCCCAGGAGGACGGACGTGAGGCAATTGAGAGATGGACTCATCAAATATGGTAGGAAAGTTCCCACAGAACGTCGGAGGCGCTGGACACTTCCCCTACACCTACTGTTGTCCATTTGGTTGATTCGCATGAGATCCTGCCACCTCCCTGACTATTTTTCGATCCGTTCTCTTCGTCAGAAAACCACTAACCATCAACTGCTGTTCTCCAAAATAAGCAGCTGATGACTCGATGCTTTTGAGGATTTGGAAGAAGTCGCCAGAGAAAATTCCTTCTATAAACTCGTCATTACTTCAGTGTGAAACTCGGAAACTCAGAATAGGGAGATTTGGGACAGAACTCCCGATACTCTGGTAATCGTCTTGTTGACCTCTTACCACACGCCTTTTTCACAGCAACTCCATCTTCATGAAGAAAGAGCGACGGCGAATATGGGAGTTGTCAACGGTAGGACTCATGAAGGAATCGATCACATCACCATCAACCGAAGATGGTGTTAACGATGTCTCCTTGAACGAGATCCTTCAGCAGTGGTCCAGATCACCGTTTCCTCTGGCCAAAAGTACAATTCAAGCGAAAGCTGGAAAAGATCTGTCACCATATTGGAGGCAGGAAAGAAGTTATATATAACGGCGTCACACGGGAGGATCCCATTTGTGGCTCGCCCATCGAGGACTACACTGAGAGCCTGTGGTGGAAGTGTCTCAATGTCTCGAAAAAGGACTTGGAACGAGCTTTGACAGCCACCAAGGATCTGCTTGAGAAGAGAGCACTGAGGCTAGATCCGACTGCATCACACCTCGGACGAGTGATAGTCAATACCGGTCGCAGAAGAGCTTTGCAATAAGATTTTGGAAAGCACAGGCAGTCAAAATTTTTAGAGGCAGCACAAGGAAAGAGGAAAAGAAGACGGTCGGAACCTTCTCGACAACCTTACTCCGCTGACAACATTACTAAACGAAGAGGGACTAGTCGACAGAAGATAGCTTCGATCACAAAGAGATTCTACACCAATTTCTTTCTCTCATCAACACCCTCGTCAAATACCGTTATCCCCACTGAAGAAATACTATTCGCCTGCTGAATTACTCGCCGCAGTCCAGACAATGAAGGCAGCCAGACTCTTAGACCGCACCACTTTGCCGACCTCCTATGAGTTGGCATTGCCTATACGACTTGCGGCGCACTTAACGTGTTACCTTCAGAAGGAAAGGAACTCCGACAGAACCTCCCGAACAATCATCCTTTATAAGAAAGGCGATAGGGCGGGTCTGCGAAAATACTGTCTAATAGCCTGCTGAGCGTGCTTTACAAGGTCTTCACTAAGATATTCTCACTCGCATATCAAGGACACTTGATAAAGCCTACCTGTAGAACCAGCTGGATTGCGTAAGGGATTTAGCTTTGTAGATCACGTTCAGACCGATTCGATTGTCGAGTTTTGCCGAGATATCGCTCACCTCCTGACCTTCGTCGACGATAAAAAAGCGGACAGCGTTGAGACTAGTGATATTGGCCTACTGCGACAGGAACTGCTTTACAATACAGCTTTTTCATAGCCCCATAGCATACCAATTTCAAAGGGGTTCGATAAAGCGACACCATGTGTTAAAGCTTTTACCGCCGCCTTGCCTTGGCTGACAATCACTGCATCAGAACGAGAGAATATATGATTTGGTGGGTGATTCCTTTCGGAGCTTGGCTTTGCGGGCGACATTGTTCTCTTCTTAAGGAATGTCACTAAATGGAGACGGTTTAGAAAGAGCTGAACGTAAGGAAGCGGATAGGACTGCAAATCAGCCGGAGGAAGACTCAGTTCGTGGAACGCCCTTCGCGAGGGTCAGAAAATGAAGTTAGAAGGTTTTCCAATCGAGAAGACAGCTATATTTCGGGCCTTTCGATGAACATGGAGAGCGATCTGAAAGAACTAAACAAGGAAGAGCAGTTTGGGCCGCCTCTAGATTAAAGGAAGCCTCACACCAGCTGACGGACACACCGAACCCATTTGTTCCTTTCAACCGTTCTTCCTTCACTCTGTAACGCAGCAGACACGTGGCCTGACACTGTGTGTACGTTGGAAGGTCCTAAATCAACTACAGAGCGCTGGAACACGTTTTCTGAAACACAATCGACGTACTTAACATCTCGTCCGATTCGCAGTTCAGATATGAGGTCAACGTCTCTTCTTCGCGGTGCAGCGGAACAGTCTTTAAAACAAAAACTTTAGCCTGCTGCTCATGTAATGAGCAGAAGAGACGACAGATGGCCACTAAGAACTCTGGAATAGATCCCTTGCAAAACGTCCTTATGTGAGGCCGAGCAGAGGGACTAACGTGTTCTTAACTCGCAAACCTCGCCAACGCAGTTCAATACCAAATTCGTAGATGACGCGCAGACAATGACCATTCATTGTGAAAATCTCGAATGAGAATGAAAGCAG